AACTCTTAGTAGCTCCTTAGCTCTCCATTTAATAGATCGTAACAGTGAAATAACTTGTTAGCTATAGCTACTAACCACTGCACAGACTCTTCACCAGTTACGAGTAACTAACTCCCGGCCCCATCTACACTAACACCTCCAAACTGCAGAACTGCCAAGGCTGCGACGGAATCATGTTCTTGGAAGGCTCGCGGTTTCCAGATTGAGAAAGCCGCCCGGGCCTGAGTGGAAAAAGGTGAAAACATCATGAACCCTCTGGTATACATCTGATAGTGACTAACAGTTTGCTATGGAAAACCATCATCCTTAATAGGTAAATCAATGTAAATCATCGAACCATTCTTTTTAACGGAAGCTTTCCATAGCAAACTGATAAATTACCAGGCAAATCATGATAGGTTGGTTGAAAATGGCTCAAGAATGTTGAAAGGACACGTTGAATGAAACCATGATAGTTTTGTTCCCCACATTGACGTGTGGGGTTTTTGTTTTTACTTCTGTATCCGCTCCTCGTCCTCCTCCTCCTCCTTCCCGTCCTCCCTCCTCACTCACACACACACACACTCACTCACTCTCACTCACTCACTCACACTCACTCACTCACACTCACTCACTCTCACTCACTCACTCACACTCACTCACACACACACACACACTCACTCACTCTCACTCACTCACACACACACACCCTCACACACACACACACTCACTCACTCTCACTCACTCACTCTCACTCACTCACTCACTCACTCTCACTCACTCACACTCACTCACTCACTCACACTCACTCACTCTCACTCACACACACACACTCACTCACTCTCACTCACACTCACTCACACTCACTCACTCACTCACACACACACACACTCACTCACTCTCACTCACTCACTCCCTCACTCACTCACTCACTCACTCCCTCCCTCACTCACTCACTCACTCACACACACACAGACACTCACTCACTCCTCCGCGTCTTTTGCGTGGCAGGCGTGGGACAATGTGCACTGCCAAGGGGTCGGATGTACGCCCTGGCGTCCCTCGGGCTCCGCGTCTTTTGCGTGGCAGGCGTGGGACAATGTGCACTGCCAAGGGGTCGGATGTACGCACTGGCGTCCCTCGGGCTCCGCGTCTTTTGCGTGGCCGGCGTGGGACAATGTGAGCAGCCAAGGGGTCGGATGTACGCCCTGGCGTCCCTCGGGCTCCGCGTCTTTTGCGTGGCAGGTGTGGGACAATGTGAGCAGCCAAGGGGTCGGATGTACGCCCTGGCGTCCCTCGGGCTCCGTGTCTTTTGCGTGGCAGGCGTGGGACAATGTGAGCAGCCAAGGGGTCGGATGTACGCCCTGGCGTCCCTCGGGCTCCGCCTCTTTTGCGTGGCAGGCGTGGGACAATGTGCACCGCCAAGGGGTCGGATGTACGCCCTGGCGTCCCTCGGGCTCCGCGTCTTTTGCGTGGCAGGCGTGGGACAATGTGAGCAGCCAAGGGGTCGGATGTACGCCCTGGCGTCCCTCGGGCTCCGCGTCTTTTGCGTGGCCGGCGTGGGACAATGTGAGCAGCCAAGGGGTCGGATGTACGCCCTGGCGTCCCTCGGGCTCCGCCTCTTTTGCGTGGCCGGCGTGGGACAATGTGCACTGCCAAGGGGTCGGATGTACGCTTCGGGCTCCACGTCTTTTGCGTGGCAGGCGTGGGACAATGTGAGCAGCCAAGGGGTCGGATGTACGCCCTGGCGTCCCTCGGGCTCCGCGTCTTTTGCGTGGCAGGCGTGAGACAATGTGAGCAGCCAAGGGGTCGGATGTACGCCCTGGCGTCCCTCGGGCTCCGCCGTCTTTTGCGTGGCAGGCGTGGGACAATGTGCACTGCCAAGGGGTCGGATGTACGCCCTGGCGTCCCTCGGGCTCCGCGTCTTTTGCGTGGCAGGCGTGGGACAATGTGCACTGCCAAGGGGTCGGATGTACGCCCTGGCGTCCCTCGGGCTCCGCGTCTTTTGCGTGGCAGGCGTGCGACAATGTGAGCAGCCAAGGGGTCGGATGTACGCCCTGGCGTCCCTCGGGCTCCGCCGCTTTTGCGTGGCCGGCGTGAGCAATGTGCACTGCCAAGGGTCGGATGTACGCCCTGGCGTCCCTCGGGCTCCGCGTCTTTTGCGTGGCAGGCGTGGGACAATGTGAGCAGCCAAGGGGTCGGATGTACGCCCTGGCGTCCCTCGGGCTCCGCGTCTTTTGCGTGGCAGGCGTGGGACAATGTGCATTGCCAAGGGCTCGGATGTACGCCCTGGCGTCCCTTGGTCTCCGCGTCTTTTGCGTGGCAGGCGTGGGACAATGTGCACCGCCAAGGGGTCGGATGTACGCCCTGACTGACAAAAGTTTTAGTTAGGCTCGCCATGACATTACACACTTGGTCACGTATTGTGATGCGGTGCATATCGTCGAATCATTGTCTCACAGCTATGGAATATTTCGATTTGACAACCTTAGCGATTTGCTTACACTGTTCAAACATATATATTATATATGTAACTATTGCCCGTTCCTATTATAATATTCTCAGGGGCTAGCGGCTAGGATGGTTCCCCCACCTTGGCGGGGGGCAGGTCGGTTCGTCGCCTGACTCAGCACCTCCGTGAACAACTACTCCAAGGCAGGCTCTTGCCTCTGGGCTGCAGCTCCAGTTCCGGGAGTTTTGATGATGAGTTTTTTTTTAGAAATTTGCTTTCAACGGACTTGGAAGCCGGTTCCCAACGACACAAACACACACACTCAATCACCCACACACAAACACACACACTCAATCACTCACTCACTCACTCCCTCACTCTCTCCCTCCCTCCCTCCCTCCCTCACTCACCCTCTCACTCAGTTCGCTTCACTTCCATCATCATCATCATCATCATCATTCCATCATCATCATCATCATCATGATCATCATCATCATCATCATGATCATCATCATCATGTGCCAACGATGTTTACCAGCCACAGGGCATGCAGAAAGAATTCACAAAATGTGCGGCTGCGCTCGAAAGAGTGCAGAACATTACTTTGGTCAGCGAAAGTATGGTGAGCACACCATCGTTTTGATAGTGTGTCGGAAGGCTGGAAAGGCGAGGCCGTTTCGAATGTGTGTTAAACATGTGTGGTGTTGAATATGTCAGGCACACCAACAGTTTGTTCCTCACATTGACGTGTGGGGTTTTTGTTCCCCACATTGACTTGACTTGGTGTAGGTTATTGAAATCACTTTTAAGTTATGCCATGCAGTTATGATGTTTCCGGTCTGTGCCGGGAACGGAAAAGAGAACGCAGACACTCACTCACTCACACACTCACACACTCACACACTCACTCACTCACACACACACACACACTCACTCACTCACTCACTCACTCACTCACTCACTCACTCACTCACTCACTCACTCACTCACTCACTCAAACTGGCTGTGCCGAAGTTCTGGATGGGCCCAAACTCCTCTGAGTCCTGTTGTTCCTGCTCTTCATCCGCATTCTCCTGCCGTGCATCCTCCTTGGATTGTCTGGGGTCTGGATTTGGGACCGGTGTGTTCCCGGTCAAGATGCTAGATTGTTTCTTCTCAGCAAATAGCCCATGCAGTGTGGCCGCTGAAATTCTCTGAGCAGATTTTTGTACTGCTTCGACTGCGTGCAACGCTTTGACTCCTCTCTGGCAAACCACTGTTTTCGACTGGATGTGCCATCCATCCACAACATTATGCGCCTCACAAACTGCAGGGATCCAAGTCGCATCTGAGACAACCGCCTTCATATACTCGACTGCAAGCGCCATCTTGAACATGTCTTTGGTGGTGTTCATGCTTTTCCCCACATTGACGTGTGGGGTTTTTGCTTTTAGTTCTGTATCCGCTCCTCCTCCTCCTCGTCCTCCTTCCTTCCTTCCCGTCCTCCCTCCCTCCCTCCATCACTCACTCTCACTCACTCACTCACTCACTCACACTCACTCACTCACTCACTCACTCACTCACTCACTCACTCACTCACTCACGCACACACTCACACACGCACACACGCACACACTCACTCACTCACTCACTCACTCACTCCCTCACTCCCTCACTCCCTCACTCCCTCACTCCCTCACTCCCTCACTCCCTCACTCCCTCGCTCCCTCGCTCCCTCGCTCCCTCGCTCCCTCGCTCCCTCGCTCCCTCGCTCCCTCGCTCCCTTGCTCCCTCGCTCACCCACTCACTCACTTCACTTCACTTCACTTCACTTCACTTCACTTCACTTCACTCACTTCACTCACTCTCACATCCCTCACTCACACACACCACACTGGCATCACTCACTCACTCTCACTCACTCACTGTACATGAACATACATACATACACACAAACTCACCCACCATCACCGCTCCATCACTCTTATGCTTCCTCTTCCCTTCTTGCTCTTCTATGGTCAGTCTAAGTCTAAAGAAGTTGGTAACATGTGGGGTTATCCGGTCCTTTAATTTGAAGGCGAGCGTCACGACCTATCAAAAACAGGAGGTTTTGGCCGAAAAATGCCCCCCCCCCCCAGGTAAACCTGTAACCTTTTACGAGTGCCATCCGGACGATCACGCCCCAGCACCTTTGGTGCGGGCGGATTTCTTCAGGTGTAGACACCAGGGGAAGACTGGGCCTTCTACGTTCAGGCGCTTGCTGGCAGACGCTGCGCCCAAAGCCCGAGCTCCCCGACGTCGCTGCGTGGCCTACGACAAGGAGGACGTGTGGTGTGGGCACCACATGGGAGCACCACGGCAGGCGAATAGAAACTCTGTGAAATCTGTGAATTTCGATGAAAAATCTTTAAAACTGATGTCAATTTCCCGCGTTCCGTTTCCGTTCCATTCCCATTCCATTTCAATTCCGTTCCCTGTCCGCTTTCTGTCCTGACAGCATTTTGAAGCCTTAGCCGCCTTAGCCCTTCGGTTCAGTCCTTCAACCGTGCACTGTTGGATCAGGAGCGGGTCCACATCAAGTGGTTCTGCCATGATCAGATCTATGTCCGCTCCTTGGAGACCAAAGATAAGGCCTACCAGGCTGGGCCAGGGCTTCTATATCAAAATGCAAAATGCTCGCACCAGAATGAGGGTTGCCCTGATTTTTCTTCAGTTTGGGAACCAGTTGGTTTCGCGGGCCCCAGGCTGGCGTTCGACCTGGTTGGACCCTCAAACTGGCCGATGGTAAAGTGGTCACAAAGATTGACCAACTTCGTGAAGTGGCTCCACCTGTGGAGTTGGAATTCCAACGTCACTTGGATGATGTGCAGATGGGCAGGATGTGTCTTGTTTAGGATGGAACTGCTGGTTGGTGGTGGGACCTCTGGATGATTTCCAAGATACACGAAGAGTACACAATGCCCAGTCTCAGTTTGTTGTTTTTTTTTGGTTTGGCGTTTGCGCAAGAATCTAATAATGACAATGGTTTAAAGATCAGATGCCACAGGTTTTTCACCTTGGGCCATCAGCTCCTCAAAGTGACGACAGCTAGCTTGTGCTAGCTGAAGTTGCTCTTGCTTTAGCAAGCAATAGGCAGGCACCGCAGGACCGTTGGAAACCGTGAAACTTTCCAGTAAGACCCCCCCTTCCCCCCCGCCCCTGGCAGGCCCGGGTTCAGTCCCCTGGTCCCCCTGGCCCATTGGTTTCCTGCAGGTATAGTGTCATCCTCTTCAGTATTTCATCTTCAGGACGTAATGTTCAGTATATCAACCATCAACTCTATAAAATCATCATCGGAAACTTGCCAGCTTCCAAATGATCATGATTATCTTCCTCCTCCTCCTCCTCGTCGTCCTCCTCCTCATCATCATCATACATCATACATGTTGCATTGCCTTGAACATCTTGCGTACGATTTGGGCTTCCATTTTGGGGGTGTTTTTCCCGAATGCGTAGCAAGGGTTCCCGTTTCACTCTGGGGTCTGGGGGTTGAGGGTGTTCGCTCGACGTTGCCTAACCGTTCGCAACCGTCCGCAACCGTCCGCAACCGTTCGCAACCGTTCGCAACCGTTCGCAACCGTCCATGTGGGGGCCGTATGGCCGTGCCTATGGTAAGTTCTGCAAAAGGGGTCATTTTTGTGTTTGTTTCGTGTGAGGTTTCCGTCACTTTTCAGCACATCTCACAAAATACCATGCCTGCCACGGAATTTGCACCTTGTCGCCACTTGACGCTGCCCTGACAATGCGATTCGCAAAAACACGCAACACGACACGTCTAAAGTGCTGCGCCTGCCACGCAAAATGACGATGGACACCTCCAAAATGCTGCGCCTGCCACGGAAACTGCAACTCATCTTGCGAAAAAGACGCAAAATTATTGCGCCTGCCACACAAAACAATATTTCGACACGTTACAAAACACGTCTGAATGTCACGAAGTGCCACGCGTGCCACGCGAAACGAAGCAACACGACGTTTGAAACCTCTCGGTTTTGGGGTTGCAAATTTTCAGGAACTCGTAGGAAAACCCGTAGGAAAACCCGTAGGAAAACCCGTAGGAAAACCCGTAGGAAAACCCGTAGGAAAACATTGATTTTGAAGCTACAACGTGTCATAATTGGAGGAAGCCTCGCACGAAATGCTCGTTTTGATGCTCCCACGTGTATCGTCTCGAGTCTCTGGTTTTCCTGTGGCCTCGCCGTGTCTATGGGGGAAGCTGCCAAACATCTCCTTTTCGAAGGTGTCCAAGCCCCAAGCAGGTTGTCATGTCGTTTTGCCGGGCAGGCACGGCACTTCGTGACATTCCAACCTGTTTAACGTGTCGAAATTGGTTTTGTGTGGCAGGCGCAATACTTTTGCGTCGTTTTCACAAGATGAGTTGCAGTTTTCGTGGCAGGCGCAGAATTTTGGCTCTGTCATCATTTTGCGTGGCAGGCGCAGCACTTCAGACGTGTCGCATTGCGTGCTCTACACTCCACACTCCGCACTCCGCACTCCCCACTTTACACTCCGTCACTCCACACTTTACACTTTATACTCCACACTTTACATTCCACACTTTACACTCCACACTCTACACTTTACACTCTACACTCCACACTTTACACTTTAGACTCCGCACTTGACACTCCACACTTTACACTTTACACTTTACACTCCACACTCCACACTCTACACTTTACACTCCACACTCCACACTTTACACTTTAGACTCCGCACTTTACCCTCCAGACTTTACACTGTACACTCCACACTGCCCACTTTACACTTTACACTCCACACTCTACATGCTACACTCCACACCCCATACTTTACACTTTACACTCGATACTTTACACTCCACACTCTACACTCCACACTTTAAACTGTAAACCCCACACTTTGCACTATACAGTCCTTACTCCACACTCCACCCTTTACACTCCACACTTTACACTCCGCACTCTACACTCCACACTCTACACTCACATCCTACACCCCACACTCCACACTCCACAATTTACATTTTACACTCCACACTCTGCACTCCACACTCTACACTCCACACTCTACACTTTACACACTCCACACTCTACACTCCACACTTTACCCACTGCACACTCCACACTTTACATTGCACACTCCTTACTTTACACCCCACACTCCACACTCCCCACTCCCCACTCTACACTCCACACTCCACCACACTCTACCCTTTACACACTCCACACTCCACGCTCCTCACTCCACACTCCACACTTTACACTCCACACTCCTTACTTTACACTCCACACTCCTTACTTTATACTCCACACTCCACACTCTGCACTCCACACTCTACACTCCACACTCTACACTTTACACTCCACACTCCACGCTCTACACTTTACACTACACTTTACACTCTACACTCTACACTCCACACTTTACACTTTACACTGTACACTCCTCACTCCACACTCCACCCTCTACACTTTACACACTCCACACTCTACACTTTACACACTCCACACTCCACACGCTACACTTTACGCACTCCACACTCCGCACTTTACACTCCACACTCCTAACTTTACACTCCACACTCCAAACTCTACACTTTCCACTCCACACTTTACACTTTAGACTCCACACTTTACACTCCACACTGTACACTTTACACTCCACACTCTACACTCCACACACTACACTCCATTCTCTTCACTGTACCTTGTGCATTCTACACTTTACACTCCACACTCCACACTTTACACTCCGCACTCTACACTCTACACTTTACACTCTACACTTTTCACTCTGCACTTTACACTCTGCACTCTACACTCCACACTTTACTCTTTACACTTTACACTGTACACTCT